GTTTTTACCCCCCTTCTGTTGTATTTTCTTCCTTCTCCTTTATTAAGAAAAGTTTCAGTTATTGATAAAAAAAAGCGTATCTTCCTTGGCTATTCCCAGACCCAAAAAGGGTATAAGTGTTATAACCCTAGTTCTCGACGTTCCTTTGTGTGCCTTAATGTTACTTTCTTTGATTTTTTTTTTTTCTGGGTCCGGTGATGTCTCTTCTTCTTCCTCACCTCCTCCTCCTCTTCCAGTTCTTGTTGAGGACCCCATCCCACTTGTTCCGGTTGTGACTAAGTCTTCGCCTCCAATGCAACTTCTTGTTGAAAGGCCACCCATCCGCCAAGTGTATATGCATCGACAACATGTACCAATATATTCTTCCTCTAGCTTCTTCACCGTCAATAGATTTGGCAATTGTCCCCCCACCAGCTCCACCTCCTATTTCTAACCTCGATCTTCCTATTGCCTTGCAGAAAGGTAAATGCAGTTGTACACTTCATCCCATTTCCAATTATATTTCTGTATCTCACCTTTCTGCTTCCCATCGTCAGTTTGTTTCTTTGTTGTCTTCTATTTCGGTTCCTATGGATGTCCAAGATGCCCTTGCCTCTCCAAGGTGGCGCCATGCAATGGAAGAAGAACTCTTAGCTTTGGCTCATAATCACATGTGGGATTTCACCACGCTCCCTTCTGGTAATCAATCTATGGGTTGTAAATGGGTATACACTGTTAAGTATTTACCTGATGATAGTGTAGAGTGATTGAAAGCTGACTGGTTGCCAAAGGCTATTCCCAAACATATGGTATTGACTACATCAAGTCCTTCTCTCCTGTTGTTAAAATTGGTTCCATTCATGTTTTGATATCTCTAGCTACTATGTATGATTGGCCTCTGTTTCAACTTGACATAAAGAATGCCTTTTTACATGGTGATCTCCTTAAGGAGGTCTATATAAAGCAACCATTGAGGTTTGTTGCTCAGGATGAGGATGGTAAGGTGTGTAAACTAAAGAAGGTCATTTATGGACTTAAACAGCCCCCCCGTGCGTGGTTTGGTAGATTTAGTGAAGTGATAAAGAAGTTTGGTATGAAACAGTGTCAGGTTGATCACTCGGTATTTAGCTATGATTCACATGCTGGAAAGATCTTACTGGTGGTATATGTGGATGATATTATCATTACTGGTAGCGATAGATTGGGGATTGATAGGCTGAAGACCTTTCTACAAGAGCACTTCAAACAAAGAACCTTGGTAAATTAAAATATTTCTTGAGGACAGAAGTAGCAAGGTCTGAGCACGGTATTATTTTGTGTCAGAGGAAGTATGCTCTTGATTTGTTGGAGGAGACATGATTGTTAGGTGCCAAACCAACTGAAACACCTATGCAACCAAATACCAAATTGAGTAGTGATATGGGTGGGGAGTTTGAAGATCCTGGAAGGTACAGGTGGTTGGTGGGTAAGCTAAACTACCTAACCATTACTCGGCTAGATATTTCCTTGCAATTAATGTGGTGAGTCAGTTTATGCAGAAACCTTGGGTTCCACATTGGGATGTAGTTCTAAGGATTGTAAGGTATTTGAAGGGAGCTCCTGGTCATGGCTTGATATACACGAGTGGAGGAAATCTTGAAATAGAAGGATACACCGGTGCTGATTGGGCTGGTTCTATATCTGGCAGAAGGTCCACTACAAGTTGTTGTACTTTTCTTGGGGTAATTTGGTGACATGGAAAAGTAAGAAACAGACAGTTGTGGCAAGAAGCAATGCAAAAGCTGAATACAGAGCCATGGCACATGCCACTTGTGAACTAGTGTGGTTGAAAAATCTTCTACATGAGATGGGATATTCGATTGACACTCCAATGAAGCTTTATTGCGACAATCAAGCTGCAATCCACATCTATTATAATCCAGTATTTCATGAGAGAACAAAGCATATAGAAGTTACTGTCACTTTGTGAGAGAAAAGGTGCTTAGTAGAGTGATAGATACTGCATATGTTAACACAGGAAGTCAATGGGCAGACTTATTCACCAAAGGATTAAGTCGGGGAAGAGTGGACTACATATGTAACAAGCTGGGACTATATGATATATAGCCACCAGCTTGAGGGGGAGTGTTAGTGTCAACTGTATAGGGGTAGTTTAGTCTTTCTATTTATGTTTAAGCTGATGTGTAATGTTTTTTTTTTTATCAATAACACTTTCATTAAATCATCATTAAATCATCAATAAAGAATTTACAAGAGGAAGACAAACACACTTATCTTCCAAGAGCCACAAAGAGCCTCATGAAAGGAAAAAAGAAAAGAGGACACTAAAGTTACAGCTTAG